CATCCCTTCCTTCGCTCCCTCCATCCGCCGTACTTCCTCCATCCCTTCCTTCGTTTCCTCCATCCACCGTCCCCTTCCTCCTTCATCCCTCCACCATCCTCTTCCTCCTTCATCCCTCCACCGTCCCCTTCCTCCTTCATCCCTTCCTTCGCTCCCTTCCTCCACCGTCCCCTTCCTCCTCCATCCCTCCACCGTCCCCTTCCTCCTCCATCCCTTCCTTCATTCCCTCCATCCGCCATCCCCTTCCTCCTTCATCCCTCCACCATCCTCTTCCTCCTTCATCCCTTCCTCCTTCATCGCTCTGCCGTCCCCTTCCTCCTCCATCCCTTCCTTCACTCCCTCCCTCCGCTGTCCCCTTCCTCCTTCATCCCTTCCTTCGCTCCCTCCCTCCGCCGTCCCCTTACTCCTTCATCCCCTCCTTCATTCCATCCCTCCGCCGTCCCCTTCTCCCTCCATCCCTTCCTTCGCTCCCTCCCTGCCGTGTCCCATTTCTCCTTCCTTAGCTCTATTCCACCTGCTTTCCACCCCTCCATTGGGCACCACCTGTTTGTATGCCCTTCCCTTCTGCCGAAACCAACCCCGTCACTTCGAGTGTCGTTTAGGGAGTTGGGTCAGGATGGGGGTTTTCCTCCCCCGCAGCTGGGTTGTAAGTTTCTCTCCTTAGGTGGCCGGGCCCGTCCCCTCCACACAGCGGATTAGTCAGTCCCGGGCTAGTGACATGTGTTGTGTGGCTGCAGGAGGGTGGGGGATGGGGTGTTGGGAGTTGGGGCGCTGGGGGGGCGCTATGGGTTTTAGGGGGAGGGGAGAAGTCCACATTTCTGGTGGCTGGGCCTGTTGGGCCACTGATCCGTGGAGCCCTGGCATGACTGGAGTTTGTGGGGCTTGGGCCTGGTTCCCAGCAAGTTGGTTGAGGGGACGGTCTGGGTCCAGTCCCCGGAGCAGATGTTTGGGGGCGGTTCTGGGCCAAGTTTCGGGAGAGGTAATGGGGTGCAACAGCTGTCGGCTTGATGCCCGGTGGGTGAGTTGCAGGCAGTGTCTCGGCCTGGTTACTAGTGGGGCAGTTGGGGGTCAAGGCTCAATTCCTACTCAGTGATTTGTGGAGGGGTCTTGGCCCAGTTCCTGATGGGTGAATTCAGAGGAGTCCCCAAATCATGCATTTGCCACGAATTACCATTTCAATTGGGGCTGGGCGTTATTTGCCCTATAATGCCCAGAACTGGTCGCTGTTCCGATGGGGTTTTCCTCACAGAGCTCAATCAAGACAGTCATCTCAGGACCACACAAGGGATCCCTGTATAACCAACCCCCGTGCCCCGCTACAGAGGGGCTGCATCTCAGTGCCAGGCGGGTTCTTACTCTCATTTCTCTCTCCCCTAGATGGTCTGTCCCAAGGCCGGTTCCCTCTTGCCCCCCCGTATGCCGTGGTCTTGATCTCCTGTTCGGGTCTCCTGGCCTTCATCTTCCTCCTCCTCACCTGCCTGTGCTGCAAACGGGGCGATGTCGGCTTCAAGGTGAGAGGCGGCTGAGGAGGAGCACGGCTGGGTGTTTGGATTTGTGGTTCCCAGGCCATATGCCTAGAGAGACATAGACCCTAGAATGGATATCCCAGGTCCTCATGCATCCCTGTCTGTCTGCGCCCTGCAGGAGTTCGAGAACCCAGATGGGGAGGAGTATTCGGGGGAATACACGCCACCTGCCGAGGAGACCTCATCGTCCCAGTCCATCCCAGACGTCTACATCCTGCCGCTCTCTGAGGTCTCGCTCCCGGCTCCCAACCAGCAGATGCCCAAGACAGGTAGGGGACATGCTTGTCTCCCAACTGGGTGTGACACATGCCCGGACTGTGGGGATGGGGTGGATTGGAAAACCAGATTCTAGGTTATCCAGTGGGAATGGGCTATGTTAGCTTGGTTCTAGGCTAGTCAATGGGGACTGGGTGGCTCTGGTTCTTGGTTAGTCAACGGACAAGGGGAAGTTCTGGTTCTAGACTAGTCTATGTTGCAGGGAGGCTCTGGTTCTAGGCTAGTCAGTGGGATTGGTGGTACTGGTTCTAAGCTAGTCCATGGGGAGGCACTGGTTCTCGACTACTCAACTGGGATGTGGTGACTCTTGTTTTAGGTAGTTGACAGGGATGAGAAAGCTCTGGTTCTAGGCTAATCAACATGGAAGAGGTGATTCTGGTCAATGGAGATGGACGGACTCTGTTTCCAGGCTAGCCAGTGGGGATGGCGTGACTCTGGAAATAAGGTTATAAGCTACCCAGTGAGAGTTGAGAGAATATTTGTAGACCCACCACTGTGGATAAAATTACTCTAGAAATCAGGATCTAGATCAGCCACTGATGATTTATTAGGTCAAAACTAGACCAGACAAAGGAGCTGAAATGGCTGCAGCCTTGAACTAGCATCTGAGACACAATGACATTCGATACCACACTCAGGATCAGCAGATAGGGCAAAAGACCACAGAACCATGTTCTAGACTACCCAATGAGAATGCAGAGATTCTGGTAACCACATTCAACACTAACCAATGAAGATTCAGAGACTGGAGGTTGGGATCTAGAGTAGCCAGTGTTGATGCAGCAAATCAAGAAATCGGGTTCTAGACTAACCAATGAGGCAGCTGTGACACTATAAAGCAGGCTCTAGACTAACCAGATGTTGGAAAGAGGGTCTAGACTAACGATGTTCTAGCTTAGTTATCCTGGATGCAGACACTCTGGAAATCTCTTAATACACAAGTAATATTCTAGACTAACTAGTGTGGACAAAGCAGCTCTGGACACAGTGTTCTAGATTAGTCTATGACACTAGGGTTTCATTAGAAAAAAATGTTCTGAGGCGCAATGACTCTTGCAACCTGATTCTAGACCATTGAGGTTCTAGAGGAGCAAATGCAGATGAAGCCACTCTAGAATGCACGTTCTAGACTAGCAATTGAGGTGTCTGTTCCATTAGAAGCCATGTTCTAGATGACCCAACGGGGATGCAGTGACTCTGGGAACGTGGTTCTAGATTAGCCAGTGATTCTGGAAGCCGCATTGTGGATGAGCTGATGGCCCAGCTTCCTGGGGGGGCCTGAAGGAGTATCGCGACCTCCTGGTCCCAACCCCTTTCCTGCTGGGAGGAGGGATAGGATGAAGGTGGGTAGGGAGCCATCACGGGAGCTCCCTTCTCCCTGGTGGAGCCGCTGGCAGGGTTCAGCCCCCTCCTCACCCTCCTGTGTCCCCTTCCAGACCTAGTGAAGCATCTGGGCTTGAGCCGGCAGCACCTCAGCTACCTGCAGGAGATCGGGAACGGCTGGTTTGGGAAGGTGAGTGCGTCTCCCCTGCCACTTCGCTATCTGCCGCCCCGGCCTCTACAGGTGTCACATCCAGGGAGTGCCGGCTCCCACCCGTCCCCAGGGCAGGGACTGGCTGGCTCAGGGGGGTGGGGAATGGGGCATGGGGCCTGTCTCCTCTAGGGGGCGCAGGCTCCCATCCGGCCCCAGGGCAGGGACTGGCTGGCTCAGGGGGGCAGGGAATGGGGCACGGGGCCTTTCCCCTCTAGGAGGCGCCGGCTCCCATCCGGCCCCAGGGCCAGAGAGGTCGAGGGCTGGACGGGCCTCAGAGACTGCACTCCAATCTGCCCTCTGGCGGGGGGCCCCCAGCACAGGCGGAGGCATGGGGGGGGAATGGGGACCCAATGGGGCACAGACTCTGCGGTATGGCTGTCAGCTCTGTCTCCTAGGTGATCCTGGGAGAGATCTTCTCAGACTTTACCCCAGCCCAGGTGGTGGTGAAGGAGCTCCGGGTCAGCGCCGGACCCCTGGAGCAGAGGAAGTTCCTGTCGGAGGCTCAGCCCTATCGGTAATTAGGGGATGGGGGCGCCCCAGAAGTGACTGCATCTCAGCACTGGGCGAGGGGTCCCTGTATACCCAGCCCCCATGCCCCACCCCAGAGGTGGCTGCATCTGAGCACCGGGCGAGGAGTCCCCGTATACCCAGCCCTCGTGCCCCACCCCAGAATCCAGCCGCATCTCAGCATCCTTAAAGCACAAAGATAAGAGGCGGAAACGCAGTGGCGTGAAAGCAGCCCACGGTGGTCCTGCTTGGACCCAGACGTACTGAGATTGCGAGCGGGGCTTGCCACACCTGTGTTTAAAGCCACAGGGTCGAGATAAAAGTCCCACAGCTAAAAATCACACACTCCCCCCGCCTGACCCCTCCTTCCCCAGCCCGGCAGTATGGGAGGATCTGGGAAGGGACTGAGGCCGGACGGGATTTGGGGGATCTAGTCACTGGGATCGTCCCCCGCTCCTCTCCGCTGAGGATCCCACAGCGTCTTCCAGCTGTTCGGGAAACTTCCGGCCCCTTGCGGAAAGGGCAGGAGCCTGCCCCCCAATGTTGCGGAGGGGGAAATCGAGGCACCCAGGGGAGGGGCTTGCCCAGACCAAGTCATTTTCAGAGCTGCCGAGAGAACCCAGGAGTCCTGGCTCCCAGCCCCCTCCCCACTCTAACCACCAGATAGAATGCCGGGATAGAACCCAGGCGTCCGGTTGCTGCTGTTGCCATGAGGAATGACAGTGCTTTCTCTCTCTCTCCCTCCCCTCCCCCCCGCTTTGAAGAAGCCTTCAGCACCCCAACATCCTGCAGTGCCTGGGGCTGTGCACGGAGACCATCCCCTTCCTGCTCATCATGGAGTTCTGCCAGCTGGTGAGCGCGGGCGGGGGCTGCCGTGGGGATTGGGGGGGGGGTGAGAGCGCTGCCTCCTAGTGGCTGGGCTCAGAACTGCTCTGTGTGTGTGTGTGTTCCGCTGCTCCCTGGTGGCTGGGTTTAGAACTGCCATGTGTGCGTGTGTCCTGGTGGCTGGGATCAGAACTCCCCACTGTGTGTGTGTGTGTGTCCTGCTGCCCCCTAGTGGCTGGGCTCAGAACTGCTGTGTGTGTGTGTGTGTGTGTGTGTGTGTGTGCGCGCACGTGTGTGTGCCCCGCTGCTCCCTGGTGGCTGGGTTTAGAACTGCCGTGTGTGTGTGTGTATGTGTGTGTGTGTGTGTGTGTGTGTCGCTGCTCCCTGATGGCTGGGATCAGAATTCCCTGCTGTGTGTGTCCCCTGCTGCCCCCTAGTGGCTGGGCTCAGAACTGCTGTGTGTGTGTCCCACTGTTCCCTGGTGGCTGGGTTTAGAACTGCTGTGTGTGTGTGTGTGTTTGTGTGTGTGTGTGTGTGTGTGTCCCCTGCTGCCCCCTTATGGCTGGGATCAGAATTTCCCTGTGTGTGTATCCGAGAAGGGGAGTGTGCCCTCTCCTGGCGGCAGTGCACACTGCCGACCTGTGTGTCATAACCCCATAATGCCGGAAGCTGGGTGTGGAGTCTCCACTCCACCAGCTGCCGTGGCTGGTGCTAACGAAGCTGGGGGCTCCGACGTTGCTCCCGGTTGCTGGAGGGGTACAGTGGCCCCCGCGGTGTCCCCGGTGCCCCATCCGTGCCCCGGCCTGCCTGACCTCCCCCCCCCCATCCCTCCCCCGTCACCCCAGGGCGACTTGAAGCGCTACCTGCGAGCCCAGTGCCAGGCAGACGGGCTGACCCCCGACCTGCTGACCCGCGACCTCAGCACGCTGCAGCGCATGGCCTATGAGCTCACCCTCGGGCTGCTGCACCTGCACAAGAACAACTACATCCACAGGTGAGCGCCCGGACGCCGGGGTTCTCTCCCGGCCGTGGGAGGGGAGGGGATTCGGGGGGTTAGAGCCAGGAGGGGGGGCTGGGGGCCAGGACTCCTGGGTTTTATCCCACCTCCAGGAGGGGAGGCGGATCTAGTGGTTAGAGCAGGGAGGACTGGGGGCCAGGACTCCTGGGTTCTTGCCCACCTCTGGAAGGGGAGGGGGATGGCGGGGTTAGAGCGGGGGGTGTCTGGGAGGCAGAGCTCTCCCCAGGGCAGGTGGGACACACACGGGGTGTCCCATGGGGATGCTGCCTGCGGCTGACTGGGGTCTCCCCACGTTCCCCCACAGTGACCTGGCCCTGCGGAACTGCCTGCTGACCTCCGACCTCACCGTCCGTGTCGGCGACTATGGCCTCTCGCACAACAACTACAAGGTGAGAGCCCTGGGGTGGGGGTGGGGCATGGGGCCTTTCCCCTCTAGGGGGCGCCGGCTCCCAACCATCCCCAGGGCGGGGACTGGCTGGCTCAGGGGACTCGGGGGCGGGGGGGGGGGGTTTCCTGCCCAGTGCTGACCCCTCCCCCCCGCGCAGGAGGATTATTACATCACCCCTGACCGGCTGTGGATCCCGCTGCGCTGGGTGGCGCCGGAGCTGCTGGACGAAGTTCACGGGACGCTCGTGGTGGTGGATCAGAGCAAGGAGAGCAATGTCTGGTGAGTCCCGCACTGTGTCCTGGCGCCTTCTGCACCCTGCTACGCCCCCGGGGCAGCCGGGACCGCCCCCAGTCTCAGGGGCAAAGGGTCAGTGAGGGGGAAGCTTTGGGGGGATCGCTGTCCCAGAGCTACCTGTTCTACATGGCTGTTAACCAGCCCCCGCACCCACGCCAGATGGGCCGCATCCCAGCATCGGGCGAGGGGTCCCCGTATATCCAGCCCCACCTCAGAGTGCCTGCATCTCAGTGCCGGGCGAGGGGTCCCCGTATATCCAGCCCCACCCCAGAGGTGGCTGCATTTCAGTGCCGGACGAGGGGTCCCCGTATACCCACGCCCCACCCCAGAGCTGCTGCATCTCAGCGCCGGGCAAGGGTCCCTGCACTCACCCCATAACCCTGCTCTGCCCAGGTCCCTGGGGGTGACGATGTGGGAGCTGTTTGAATTCGGCAGCCAGCCCTACCGGCACCTGTCGGACGAGGAGGTTCTCGCCTTCGTCATCAAAGAGCAGCAGATGAAGCTGGCCAAGCCACGCCTGAAGCTGCCCTACTCTGACTACTGGTGAGTGCTGGGTCCCTGCCCCACAGCTGCCCCACCTCCCCGGCAGGTCCCAGTGGGGAGCTGGCTGGCCACGACCCTAGCCTGGTACAGCCGCTCCGTAGGGCTGAGGACCACCGGACTCGGTGTGCGCCTGACGCACTCTTCCATCGCTGACAGCTGCAGGTGGTTCCTGGCTGGGCTGTCACTGGGGCCCGTCACTGCTCCATTTCTCCCATTCGTCTTGTCCTGCTTTGCTCTGTGTCTCCGGCTGTTCTCTTCTGACTGTTCTTCTTTCTCTCTGACTGTTGTTTTCCAACTAGTCCTCGGCCTCCCTCTCTCTGAGTGTTTTTTTCTGACTGTTCTTCCGTTTCCGACTGTTTTTCTGTCTCTACAGACGTTATTTTCGACTTTTCTTGGGGTTTTTTCTGGCTGTTCTTCTGTCTCTGGCTGTTTTTTCCCCTCTTGCTCTTTCTGACTTCTGTTTCTCCAGCTGATGCTTCTGACTGTTCTTCTCTGTCTCTTTGGCTGTTATTTTCGGACTGTTTTTTCTGTCTCTCTTGATTTTTTCTGTCTTCTGTTACCAACTGGTCTTCTGTCTCTAGAGCTGTTATTTTCTTACTGTTCTTCTGCCTCTCTGTCCAGCTGTTCTCTCTGGCTGTTATTTCCTGACTGTTTTCTCTCTCTCCAGCAGTTCTTCTGTCTCTGACAGGCTGTTTTTTCCCCCTGACTGTTCTTCTGTCTCTTTCTGAGTTTTTTTCTGGATGTTCTTCTGCCTCTTTCTGACAGTTCTTCTGTATCTTTGGCTGTTACTTTCTGACTGTTCTGTCTGTTTTCCGATTGTTCTGTCTCTTTCTGGCAGTTGTTTTCAGACTGTTCTTTCACCTCTCTCCAGCTGTTTCTCTGTCTCTCCAGCTGTTGTTTTCTGCTGGTCCTTCTGTGTCTCTCTGGCTGTTCTTCAGTCTCTACAGCTGGCTTATTCCCGACTCTTGTCTCTATCTCTCTGGTGGTTATTCCACCTCTCCAGCTGTTCTTTTTCCGACTGTTGTTCTCTGACTGTTCTGTCCCTCCCTGCCCTGACCGCCCCCTCTCCCTCCCATTGCAGGTACGAGGTGATGCAGTCGTGCTGGCTGCCGGCGCCACAGCGCCCCACACTGGAGGAGCTGCACCTGCAGCTGACCTACTTGCTGACGGAGCGCTGCCACGCGCAGGCGGAGGAGAGTTTTGAGTGGCGCTGGAACGCCCTGAAGCCCAAGCGCTCGCCGGCCGCCTCCCCCCCACGCCGGCGCCGCTCGGAGGAGATCTCGGCCTACCCGCTGCTGGATGGCTTCCAGGGGGCCGATCTGGATGACGTCCTCACTGTCACCGAGAGCAGCCGGGGGCTCAACTTCGAGTACATGTGGGAGAAGGCCCGGCTGGGGCGCTGGAAGGCCGGCCCAGCCCCCGGGGCCACCCCCTCCAGCAACGGCGGCCTGGCCGTGCCCGGCGCCAACCCCTTCTACGAGGCGCCAGTGCGGCAGAGCCTGGAGACGCCCAGTGTGGTCCCAGTGATTAGCGCCCGCAGCCCCTCCGTCAGCAGTGAGTACTACATCCGGCTGGAGGAGCACGGTGATGGGGAAGGGCCCGAGGGCACCGTCGGCACCCCCAGCCCCGTCTACGAGCGCCAATACGGGGTGCCCGGCTCCCCGCCGGAGCCCCTCTTCCCTTCCGACTGGGACCCCATCGAAGAGGGCCGGGGCAGCCCCCCGCCCCTGGCCCGCCACCACCTCCCCCACCTCCTGCCGGAGGGGCCGGCCAGCTGGGCCCCCGGTGCCACCAACCCCTTCATCACGGTGTCCCGGGAGCCGGCCCGGCGCAGCGCCAACCCCTTCCGGGCCGAGATCCAGGAGACCTCGCTGACGGATCCGGCGCCGGGGGGCATCTTCCTGGGGGAGTCCCTGCTCCACGTGTACCAGGAGCTGGAGGAGCAGCAGCGTGGCTGGGACTGCGAGGGGCTGGAGGAGCGGGGGGCCGGGGAGACGCTGGCGGGGGACCCCTCGGAGTTCCGCCCCTCACCCCCCTGGGACCGGGAGCCCTCCCTGATGGAGGAGCAGAGCTCGGCCGGCAGCACGGACGGGGAGGACGCCAGCAGCGGCGGGGACGGGCGCCGCAACCCCCTGCTCTGCCCGCTCTGCAGCCGGGGCGGGCGCTGCCGCTGTGCCCCGGGCCGGGGGGAGGTTGTGAGCGGCTGGAGCAACCACGCCCCCATCCCCCGGCTCCACCGCGACAGCTACGGCACCGAGGACGACTCCTCCCTCAAGGTGGAGCGGGGCTCCCTATCCGACTGCCCCATCCTGCTGGGAGAGGGCCCCCCCGGGGCCGGAGAGGGCGGGGCCGGGCCGCTCGCCCCACCCCCTTTGGCCGGGGCGCCGCCCCCTCCCTCGGCGTTCTACGACCCGCTGATGGGCACGGCCGTGGTGAGCTACGAACTCCAGGACTACCCCAAGCGGGGGGTGGCTGGGCGGCCGCCGGGCTCGCCCTTCCCCGGCCTGACCGCCGCCTGCTGCAGCGTCATCGTGCCGGTGGAGATCCCGCCCCTGGCCACGCTGGCGGAGAGCGCCGACGAGGAGACCATCGCCATCGTGCCCGAGGCCGCAGACGGCTTCCCGGCCAGGCCGGAGATTGGCCCAGCCCCAGTGGGCCAGCGGAGGGGCCCGCTGGACTCCGGGGACTCGCTGGACCTCCCCTCCAACACCAGCTCCTCCGAGGGCTGCAGCCCGGCCTCCCGCTTCTCCTCGCCGGGCCAGAAGTTCCCCGACAGCGGCTACGAGACGGAGAGCACCTTCTCCCCGGAGCTCCTCGTCCGGGAGCCCGAGGAGGAAGAGGACGGGGAGCCGCCCGGGCAAGGGGATGCCGCCCAGCTGCCCCCCACGCCCATCTCGGAGTCCACCAGCGACCTGACGCTGTCAGAGGAGACGCCGGGGGCCGAGGAGGAGGCGGGCATGGGGCGGGGGCTGGCCACGACCCACCGGGACTCAGCCTATTTTTCGGACGGCGAGGCAGAGGGGGGACGGGGGGAGGAGGAGGAGGAGCCGGCAGCGGGGCAGGGTGGGGGGCAGCCAGCGCCGGCCAAGTTGGAGGCCGGCTTCGTGGTGCAGGTGTGCAAGGAGCAACTGCTGGTGTCGCTGCGGGAGAACATCACCCGCAACCTACTCTGCAACCACCGAGACCTGGGGACCCCGGCGTCCGGGGCCCCAGCTGCCAAGGAGGAGGCCGTGATCCGGCTCTGGGCCCTGGACCCCGAGGGGGCCCGGGGCGCTGGAGACGAGCAGGAAGGGGGCGGCGGGGAGGTGGCAGGTGGGCCGCCCCAGGAAGAGGAGGAGGGGGCAGAGAGCGAGGAAGGGCAGCTGGACGGCCAGGGGGCGCCGGAGCTGAGCGGGGAGGCCCCTGTCCCCAGCCCCGAGGGGGCCGACCCGGCGTCTGAGCAGCCGCAGCCCCACCTGGACTTCAGCACGGCAGGGAGCCCAGGCAGCGAGGACATCAAAGGTAGGGAGATGCCAGGGGTCGGGGGTGCCATCGGAGGGAGGGGGCAGGGACCGTCTGGGGGGAGGGATGGGGGCCATCTGGGGGGAGGAGGGGCTGTCGGAAGGACAGGAGAGGGATCGTCCAGGGGGAGGGGTACCCTCTGCGGGACAGAGGAAGGGGGGTGTGGGGGGATGGACAGAGGGATGGATGGAGGACTGGGGGTGGATGGACCGAGGATGGAGGGGCAGTGGGGACAGTGGCAGGGATGGATGGAGGATGGGGGTGGGGACGGATGGAGGCCGGGAGGTGAGGGGGATGGATGGCGGGATGGATGGAGACCGGGAGGTGGTGGGGGGGTGGACGGAGGGATGCATGGAGGACTGGGGATGTGGGGGGATGGACAGAGGACTGGGGGTGGATGGACAGAGGATGGGGGGGCGGCGGGGACAGTGGCAGGGATGGATGGAGGATGTGGGTGGGCACGGATGGAGGCCGGGAGATGGGGGGGGATGGATGGAGGGATGAATGGAGGATGTGGGTGGGGACGGATGGAGGCCAGGAGATGGCGGGGGATGGATGGACAGAGGATGGAGGGGGGAGGCGGGGACGGCGGCAGGGATGGGGGACAGGGGTGCTCACCCCCTCTGACCCTTGAACTTTCACCTCCACCCTTCTCTCCCTTTGCCTCTCTACCCTGATCTTTGCCCCCCCATTCTCTCCCCCTGTCCCGTCCCTGCCTGCAGCCAAGGTCTCGCGCCTGTCGCTGGCGCTGCCCCCGCTGAGCCTGCAGCCCTTCGCCGGCCCAGGGGGGCGGAAGGGCTGTGGGGGGCTGGCGCCGGAGGAGGAGGGGGCCGGGCGGGGGGCGCCGGGGCTGGGCGAGGAGGAGGAGGATGAGGAGGCACCGGGTGTCGGGGGCGTCCCCATTGTGGTCAGTGACTCGGACGATGGGCGCAACCTGCGCGGGCTGCTCAAGTCCCCGCGCTCGGCCGAGGAGGCTGCCGAGCTGGACCGGAAACGCAAGATGGTGTCCTTCTTCGACGA